TATTGTCTGTACACTGTGAGCAAATATTAGATGATGCGAAACCCATCTTGAACATCCGTTGACCTGTATAGTGTACTCTATGAAGGATTTTGTATTGTATTAGTTGTAAATTCGAGTTTTTAGTCATCTTAAAAGTTCTCAGACAGATCTGCGACCAAAAGTTTTGGTCAAAATTAACTGATAAGTCTGTCTCCCATTTTACAATGGGAAGAGATATAGATTCATCTATTTTACTGAGTTTCTGATAAACCTTAGATAGTAATTTGGGAGGGTTAAGATTAAGGAATTCTAATACACTTGTTGACATTTCAATCCTAGTGTTATTAAGGTTAAATTTATTTTTGGTTATAGATTTAATTTGTTGATATTCTAAAAATTTATTCTTATCAATCCCATATTGTGTAATTAATCTGTTAAATGGGATGTAGTCCACTTCTTCATATATATGTTCCAAATATTCAATTCCTTTACACCTCCAACCTGGGAAGTTTATCATCTTATTCTGTTGTAGGATGTCAGGGTTGTTCCAGATGGGTGTACGTTTACATGGGATTAGTGAAGACTCTGTCATTTTAAGAAACTCCCACCAAGCTGTCAGAGAGGAGCTGATATTGATGCTTTTAAAGCATTCCTGTCGTTTTATGTTTGAGCTAATGAATGGAAGGTCCGAGATCATTATATTATTGCAAAGTGTCTGTTCTACGTCTAGCCAGGGTTCATCAAGGGGTGTGTGTTTTATCCATTTTGAGATGTATTCTAGCCTGTTGGCTAGAAAATAATAATAAAAGTTGGGTAATTCTAGTCCTCCTTTATCTTTGGATTTCTGTAGTGTTTTTAATCTAATACGAGGGCGTTTATCTTTCCACAGAAATTTAGAAATAGAGGAGTCCAGGGATCTAAACCAGTCAGATGATGGTTTATTTGGGATCATTGAGAATAAATAATTTATTCTAGGCAAAACCATCATTTTTATTGATGCGATCCTTCCCATGAGAGATATGGGTAAAGATTTCCATCTAGCCAGATCATCCTCAATTTTCTTTAAAAGTGGGGTGTGGTTTAGTTTTGTTAAATCTGCTAATTTAGGCGAAACTTTGATACCCAAATATGTAATATTCCCTGATTGCAGTTGTGTAGTAAGTGAATTGTTGAAAGAGCAATTAATTGGTAGAACTGTGGATTTTAGCCAGTTTATAGAGTAATCTGAAACTTTTGAGAAGGAGTTTATCAGTCCAATAACGTGAGAGATGGAGGTTTGTGAATGCCAGAGGAAGAGCAGCACATCATCAGCATATAGACTGATTTTGTGCTCTCTGTTCTTGCATTTTATGCCTTTAATATCTGTAGTTTGCCTGATTGCTGCGGCTAGCGGTTCGATGAAAATAGCAAACAGTGAGGGGGAGAGTGGACATCCCTGCCTGGTTCCCCTTTGCAGAGCAAAACTAGCAGATATTTGATTGTTTGTCCTAATGCATGCTGAAGGAGAACTGTATAATATTTGTAACCAATTTATGAAATAATTTCCAAAACCAAATTTATGTAAGGCTGCAAATAAAAATTTCCAGTTAACTCTATCAAAAGCTTTTTCTGCATCTAGAGAGAATATTGCAGTTTCAATATTTTTACTGTAAGAATAATCTATTAAATTAAATAATCTGCGTGAATTTGTGGATGAATGTCTCCCTTTTATAAAACCGGTTTGGTCTGGATGTATTATTAGAGGAGTTACCTTTTCTAATCTTTTTGAGAGGGCTTTACAAATTATTTTAAGATCAACGTTGATAAGAGATATTGGACGATAACTGGTAGGTAATACAGGATCTTTGCCTGGTTTTAACAGGAGACTAATGTTGGCAGAATTTATATTTTTTGGAAGACTGTTACTTTTCTCAGTTTCTTGTAGCATTTTGTGAAATAGTGGAGCCAGGATATTCCAGAATTCTTTATAGAATTCTGCTGGGAATCCATCTGGACCTGGAGCCTTTTTATTGGACATGCTTTTGAGGGCTTCCTGGAGTTCCACTGGTGTCAGTGGTGAATCCAGCTCCATTGTTTGACTATCTGATAGTTTAGGAAGTGTTATTTTATCCAGGAATTCATTAATTTCATTATCTGATGGGTTTATCTGGGGCGAATACAAGTCTTTATAAAAATCTCTGAAAATGCTGTTAATTCTTTCAGGATCGTAAACTGTATTCCCAGTCGAGTCTTTAACACCAACTATAGTTGTTTTTTCCTTATTTATTTTGAGCTGTTTAGCTAGAAAGCTACCTGACTTATTGCTCTGTTCAAAATTTTCGATTCTAAGTCGTTGTATTAAGAATTTAGTTTTTTTGTTAATACATTCTTTTAATTCCAAATTTGCTTTACGCATTTTATCCAGCATTTCTTCATCTTGAGATGCTTCTAACAATTTAATGGTTTCTTCTAGTTCCTGAATATGTTTATTTTCTTTTTTCTTCTTTTGTGATGAGAATGAAATTATTTTACCTCTCATTACAGCTTTACCTGCCTCCCAGAGAATAGATGCTGATGTTCCAGGCACGTCATTATACTCCAGATAAGAAGCCCACTCTTCTGTAAAATATTTGATAAAATCTACATCTTCAAGCAGTGATGTATTAAATCTCCAGTTTATACTTTTAGGGTTTTCTTTTCTGTTTGCTAGATTTAAACAGACAGGAGCATGATCACTGACAGCTATAGGGTGAATCTCAGTGTCCGAGATGTCCGTCAACAACGAGCTGCTGACTAAAAAATAATCCAGACGAGAGTGAGTGATGGACAGAAGAGAAGAAAGTATACTCTCTACGATTCAGGTGAAGAGATCGCCATGCATCACAAAGTCCATAATCACTCATGTACTGTTTAACTACATTTATGGACTGCCAACTACGCTGAGTTCGTGCTCTACTACATCTGTCTAATTCTTCATTTAGACCAAAGTTGAGGTCACCTCCAAGTATAAGTGAGCAATCCAAGTGATCAGAAAGTGCTGAGAAAAAATCATGAAAAAAAGAGGTGTCATCTACATTTGGGGCATATATGCTGACAATACACAACTTATAGTTATTTATATAAAGTTTTATTATTAAATATCTACCCTCTGGATCTGTGACTGTGTCTAGTATTTTAAAGTTAACATTTTTGTGTATTAATATTGCTACTCCTCTTTGTCTTGAGTTATAGCAGGCACAAAACACATTAGGAAAATCAGTTGATTTAAGATCATCTGCAGTTGTCGTAGATTTATGAATCTCTTGTAAAAAGACAACATCTGCCTGTAATCTTTTAAGCTGGTTAAAGATTCCTAATCTTTTTTGTTGAGTACTGGTTCCATTAACATTCCAAGTTACAAACCTTACTGTGCCCATATTTGTACGTGCGTAGTTAAAGTTGACCAGTGCATGTCACCATGGATACAAATAGATCTAAATAAAATCTGAGTTAATGCTTGAGCTAGCCTGTTTAGATCTTCACAAACAGTGATGTTGGAAGTGGAAAGATACCAGAAGGTTGAGTAGATGCTAGATGTTGTTGAGGTGGAAAGATATAAAGTTCTCATATGAGGTGTCCATGTGTGTTCTCTTATGAGGTGTGTGTGTGCGTGTGTACTTGTGGGCTTGTGTGTAAATGATTGTTGGGTGGTAAAGAAGCAAAGAGAAAAATAAAAAATAAAAAAAAGAATGACGAAGAAATGCGTTAGCAGATACAAAAAGAAAAAGAAAATAAGTGGAGAAACAAACAAACAAAACAGCTGTGACACCGTTCACCTTCACCCGTGCAGACACCCGAGCTGTGCTTTACATTTTATTTACAAATGCCAGTTAATTTAGTTCCATTATTACCATTTAAATTATCACCACTAAACCCCAGCTGCAGAGCCACCGTCACCAAAAGCCAAACTTTAAATAGTTCCTTACTTTCCTTTCATAGTTAGTCCAATTCATACCCACACACTAATATATATACATATATATATATATATATATATATATATATATATATATATATACATATACACATATACATACATACATACACATATACATATATATATACACACACATACATACACATATATATACATACACATACACATATACACACACACATACACATACACATATACATACATATATACATACATACATACATACATACATACACACACACATATATACATACATATATACATACACACATACATACATACATATATACATACACACATA